ATCTACATTTTCACCTTATTTTGTTATGCCGGAGCCGGACTGCTTCAAAGTATTGCTGAGAGTTGGAGAAGATGAGGGGAGGGAACGCTTAAGGGGAATTTCAGTGGGTGATTGGACCGTGTGCATGTTGCGGAAATCGAGAGAAAGAGAAAAAGAAAATCGGGGCAGGCGCAGAAGCGTGTTGCGTGTTTGTGGTGCGCCATGGCGTGCTAACTGCGCCGCAAGATCGACCGAGAGCAGAAAATGGTCTCCAGCAATGCACTCGTTGAAATTTGAACGTGGTTATAGGGTTTTGTAGATTTTTTGCGATGGTTTGCTTTTATCGTCTATTTGGACCTTTGACGAGTCTTTCTGTATTCTAGGATGGCAGCCGGGGCCATTCTGAAAACGACGGGGGCCGTCATTGCTATTTCAACAGCCATTTTTATCGGCGTAGGTGAGGTTTTCAGCATATTTTTCTGTTTTCGTTAAGAGTTTGAAGTATTGAATTCAGAGACCATTTCTCTTATTTCCAGGGCTGTACTACATGCTAACTGGCCAAGGCCACAGATTTGACATTGGATGGTTCCTAACTAGCACTTCACCCCATATGTGGGCCGGCTTGGGAATAGGCTTCTCTCTATCTTTGTCTGTTCTCGGAGCTGGCTGGTAAGCTGAGTAGAGAATTTTTATAAACTTACTCATGCTCTGATCGTGGCAGTTGCTTTTCAAGGGGTTGATGAACTTGCATCTTAAAGCGATATCTAACCGACCCCATTGCTTTAAGTTTGGTCTACGATGTCAGTGCTTTTCACCTGAATTATTGTTTACATCTGGGCTTTTTGAGTTGGGGTGTATGTGGAAAGGCTCAAGAATGGTGAAATAGTGGTTACAGGATACAATTTTCAGGGGTATCTTCACAACTGGCTCTTCTATCCTGGGTGGTGGAGTGAAGGCTCCCAGAATTCGTACGAAGAACTTGGTCTCGATCATTTTCTGTGAGGCGGTAGCTATTTTCGGTATTATCATGGCCTTCGTCTTCGTCGGAAAGATGGCTGTAAGTAGTTAAAATTTGGCAATTTTAGTTTTTTTGGAGCTGCGTGCATTTTCTTCTTCTTTGAACACCTCATGTTGTTCTTTTTTACCCGCTTGATGGTCAGGGAAGTTATGAATCCTGCTTTTGAAGAAAAAATGCACTTTTGTGGCAACAATTTCAGTTTGTGCTTATTATTTGACATTGATACCTTACTCAAAAGGATCAGAGGGAGCTTTTGCCTTATTTCCTCGAATGCGCTCCGTGGCTATTCTTGTGAGATACGGTCGATCCTAAACAAATACAAATACAAATACGGCACAAACAATGGTTTTTGGAACTCTACTGGCACACTGATATTTGCTAAGAGAGCTCAATTAGTCATATTTGAAGGGTATTTCTGCACATCTTACGTTATCAACAGCAGTATTTTCCTTCATGATTTGAGCACCACATTTGGGCTGAATATAGTGGAATATAGTCACTGCAATGTGAAATAGGGTCCTTCAGCAAGTTTTTCCTTTACTTTGAGGTGGAAGATTTGCTTCTTTTCATCATTGACGTCTAGAATGTAAAAGGTCTTATTTTCAATTCTTCGGTGGCTGAGCGGCTTGATCTGCTCGGGTGGAAGGCAAAACTTTCCTGAAGGTACTCCATCAGGTATTGAGATAGTTTGAGTCTGCAACTCGCTATGAGTTTAAGCAGGCGCGTAAGAGAAGCAAAAGGTATGCATCAGTTTTCTCGGTGTTTAGGCCTGTTTTCCATAGTTGTTGAATTGTTAATCAACAGCTACCCGATTCTCTTGGGCAAGTTACTTGATCTCTTTGAGCAAACATGACAAACCTAACAGTTGTCTTTCACAGACTCACTTATAAAAAGTTCGTCATATGGCCAAGATATTCAGGAATTCAAACGTGAAGAGCTCGACCTCTCGCAGCCTGACCAAGTGGCTATTCTTGCACGCAATCTTGCAGCTGGATACATGATATTCGGCGGTGGCCTAACTGTTGGCTTCAGCAATCTTGTATGCGGCCTAGCCGTAGGTAAGCTATCTCAGTTCAATCAGTTTTTCTTGTTTTCTTCTAATATTTCTTATTACTACAGGTATTGTTGGGTCTGGTGCCGCTATTGCTGATGCTGCAAATCCCGCTCTCTTTGTAAAAATTCTTATCATAGAAATTTTTGCATCTGCCATTGGTCTTTTTGGAATGATCATTGGCATTGTACAGGTACATCTAGTTTTTAATTTGTGGCCGTCTTAGAGCACTTTGGCGCTTTTCATGGGTTTTTAAGTGGGAAGCTGTTTTTCTCTTCTGGAATCCAATGAGAAACTCGCCTTTTCAGACTAACAAGGCAACGATGGGAAACAAGTGAGGAGTTATGTATAGACTACTCCGAGTGAAATGGAACATTCCGTCTGTATCATAGGTCGCTGGAATCGTTGTCCTCCGTGACAAATGTTTGAACCTAATTTCTTTAATCTTTTTACATACCTTTTCTGAAACTCTTCCGGCGATTTTTGTTTCTACGCTGTGTGCATAGTTCCGGAAGAGTTATATTCGAACCAAACGATCTTTTTATTCATCTCTTGTTTTTACTAGAGATTCTTAATTTCATAGGTTGTTATGTGCTTAGTCTGTGATGCCAGTTGTGTTAGATGTTAGTGTTAGTGATACGATGCTGTCTTCAAAGTTATCGGCTCTTCCGTCCTGCGATTAACATCTGTATAGTGAATGAAAGATATTACTTTTTATACCTGTTATTCTTATAAGGCATGGTCCTCTCGCTGCTTTTCGTTAATATTCTGTCTTTTTGATAAAACATTCAGAAATTAAGCACATTCCTTGGATAACGTTCAACATAGTTCATAAACACCGGTAATTCCTCATGAAAGCAGACCGTTGCCCGTATAACCTTACAGCTAAGAATAACTTTCGAAAAGCAATTTCAATCGAGTTTTCATAAGTCGAGAGGTGCTAGGTTTGGCTATTTCGCAGTTCTTTTCAGAAGAAAAACTGTCCTAGAGAAGGCGTTCCTAGTGTTCCTGCAATATCATATCTAAGAACTTCTGTTTCATGTGTGAGCATGAGAGGAATTATGAAAATCTTTTGTAAAACGAAATATATTCAAGTGGAACTTCAGGGGAAGTAATCTTTCCAGCACAGTACTTTTCTTATCCATAGCACCAGTAATCAGTATGGATGCTGCGATCTGTAAGCTAGTGTTTTGCTACAAAATATGCTTCAGCAGGTGATATGGGTGAAAGAACAATCATGCTCATTATTCGGATCCGCTGCATACTCTTCGTGTGGTTTAATTCGGATTTATAATAGAGGAATATGTATATAACATGTCGAAACCCCAGCACGGCAAAAAAAAANAAAAAAAAAGAGCTTTTCCTACCGTATCGAAGTTTATCTCTATTTGCGCTAAGTACAAACGCCTTTCTATTATATATGAAGAAACGGTGCTGTGCATTGGCGATAATGCCTTTAGATTAATGGTTCCGATGGTAACGATTTAGTTCCGCCTTTCACTTCAATATCGTTTGATAATAAGTAGCCCCAACCTGAGAAGTGTCTTCTGAGTAATGTTTGTGTAGGTAGACAAGCTTCTGTTATGCACAATTCCACAGGTTCTGCAACTTTCACGGTGATAGTTTCTAAAAGTTCCACCATTGACTGTATTCCTCCTTGTTCATTTCGTGATAGTAACGGTATACCACTTACTGATTTAGGTGAAGCTGAGAAATACATTCCAGTTGGCGTTGGTTCGTTCATGGGCAATGGGTACCTTTGGCTGTTGAGTTCGAATGGAGTGCCCTATCGAGTAACTGCGGACAACCGAATAGGTATGTTCAATGGAGTACTTGTTATAGTAGATCCAAACTGTTCATCAGGTTTTTTTCCAAATTCATCGTTTCACTACCTTACACTGCAGAGTATAGATTTTCAATCTGTTCCGTTTGCAGAACATATATCTGAAGCTCATTGGAAGTCTGAGCCCGTCGTTGTAGAAGGAGAGCAGCAGAAAATCCATCAAATTCTTGCAGCACCTCATGTAATATCTCTTTCATTTAATTCACTGTATTTCATTTGTAAAGTTGAATATATTCAGCAGGATTAAAAACACCTCTAGGTTTTATTGTCATAGGGCTATTTTTTCATAATTTTCCTTATATTGGGCAGAATTCATTATTTAGGCTGCCTTTGCTTTGGATCTCAATGGCAATGTCTTCCAATTCGTTTTGAATTCGCACCTGACAATACGTCGGAGAGTGGAAATTTATGCGAATCAAGTACGGCGTTATTGACCAGTTCTTTTTGGAATCCTGGATCGACGGTGGTTTTCAGCGATGGTATCCAGTAGCTGGATGGTCGTCAAGAACCTTGCCGACAGACCGCGCCGCGTTCAGTAACGAGGATGGGTCAAACTCGGGTGACATGTCTGGTTTCCAACTGAAAGCAGACGGCTGGCGTTGGGAAGAGTCGTGGATTGTCGATGTGGATGTGCGAAAGTGCGACATGGAGGTGAGCTTACTGTGACTGTGTAAGGAAATCAATTGAATTATTATTATTCCGCTAGTTTAGGGCTGGGAGTATGCTACAAATTTTGCTGGTGCAGCCTGGAGCCCAAAAAAAGGTGTCAGTTCCTTTGTACGTCGTCGGAGGTGGAAAAGACATATGCGCTACACAAGTATTGAAAAATGGGCTGAGGTGGATTTTTATATCAATTTCGTTGAGGTTACTCAAATCTACGTTTTCAAAGAGGAAAATGCTTCCAACCAGAAATTGTAAATAGCACAACGAAGACCAGACACACCAGACATACCAACGAACGTAACGTACCATGTGTGAGATCAGAGATAAGCGTGTCTTCCTGGCGAGTTCATCTGACAGCGGGTGGTCGGATGATATAAGTTCCAAGGACAACCTAAGGGACGCTGTCGGGTCGAAAAACAACGAGATAGGGCGTAATAGGGGCCCTAATACCGGCTTGGCCGAAGTACACACCCAAGCAGACGAGTTCTCAAGCGTTGTGAAAGCTGTAGAGGTTGCATCATTCGCGCCAGGACCCGCACCATGTACGCAGGCAGCTCAATGCAGCCAGCTGTATGCAACAGCGCGCTCATTTGAACAGCTCGTCCAAATATCCCGCCCACGCAGCTTCCGCGTTAAAGTTAGAGTTCGCTGTGGTTCTTATTCTGTTGAGTAGTGATCAGAATTGTTTTCAACTGACGAACTTCAAATACGTCAACCGAAAAACTTGAGCATTTTTCTCGAATATGGCAAAAGGGTGAATGGGCTAGGACGATGTTTCTCAATCTCACATTATATGACCGTTTTTCAGCTACCCAGAGAGGAAAAGACAACTTTCGTCGAGTTAGCTGTTGGTGGATTTGATCTACTGCCCGATCGTAACTGCTTATTATTTGCTTTGTCTAAAGATGGTTATGTCTATAGGTGGGTCCTACCATTCGAAATACTCTGGAGTTGATGTTTTACTCAGCTCCGCGTGAACCTGTAGTTTCGCCGTCATTGTGCATTTTCAGAAGAGTTGGAATCGATGGAAATAATCCAGGAGGGGATAGCTGGCGGAAAATTCCAGAAATTGAAAGCGAAGGTCGTGCGGCTTATAAATAATTTATTGGCTTTTGGAGCATATGTCAATATCGTGGGAGTGTTTCAGAAGGAAGAGAAGACTTGGCTAAAATCAGTTGTTCAGCTTCGCTCGGAACATTGGTTGTGCTTACATGGGATGGGCGATTATTTTTTCGAGCAGGAATAACTAGAGGTATTCATAAGTAACATCAGGATATGTCAATAAAAAATAGCTTCATCATCTTGCAAAAAATGGTGACTTATAGTTCGCATAGCTTTCCTTTTCGAGTTTGTGGAGAGACAAAGAGAGGGTCGTTTGTCTACAAAAACCAAGTTTTTCTTCTAGATTGTAGGAATGGCACCACCTGGTGCCCACTGCTCGCTCCACAGAATCTCCCTCTTGCTTTTATCTCCATAGGAACAAGGTCCATGTGGGTAGTGTCTGTAGACGGCAAGGTGAGGCTTTTGTCCCGTTCGTTACCGTTTCTCGACGGCTATCAATTTGTCTAGAGTTGTAAATATTCTGCATTCAACTTTTCATGTTCTGCATAGCATTTTTCGACATTGTTGGATCAGAACTGAGTTCGGCAAATCGCTTTGAATCCACTGGTTCTTGGTTTCCTGTCGTTTCCAGAAAACTTAACAGCTGGTTTCCTCAGTGAAGCTGAATCGAAGGGCGATAACCTCACAGATACTCTGCAATAGTACGTTTTCCAGTTATGGAGCAAACGTCTTCATCCTAGTAAAGCCGGTCATGAACAGTCGTCGTTTTCCGAGTTGAATTATTTTGAATTCAGTGGTGAAGTCTACGGGCTGTGCATTAACGCTGATGATCAGGTATCAACAGCCACCGTTCTCCGGACACTTGTTTTTTCAAATATTGGAAAGATTGCCTTACCTTTTCTAGGTGGCTGGTGTATCTGACAGTGGTGTTGTTTATGTACGTGACGGCGTTTCTCCCAATGAACCGGCTGGAAGAAGTTTTGTGCGAATTGTAGAGAGGACCACTACAGATACTCATAAGTGGGCTGCGGTCAGTACATGACTTTGCCTTTAACATCCTTCTTATGTTGCAATGCAAGACTACTACTTTTCAAGGTTGCGAATAGTGGTACGCGCTACAGTAGCCTACCTAAACATTGGGTCAATGAACATGTGGTCGTACGCGCTACTGCTAATTTCCGATATGCCACTTGGCGGAAGCAGGCAAGCTTTATCAATAAGGTTTTTATTATTACCTTGTTAGTTCCCTTCTCTTCAGATCTTGAAAGATCTCTGTGCTGTAAACGAACTTTGTTGGGAAGCATTCAGATCCACTGGCAATGATCTTGAGGTAACTAGACTTCCGCTCAAACCCGGTATTGAAGAAAAGTTGTAGGATTTTAGGAACTTATGGAGGAAGGGCAAGATCCGGATTCATGGAATCGAAAATATCCAGCAAAACTGAGACGTCAAGGGGACCAACGATTCCAGAACGGTGTGGTTTTGCTCAGTTCTCATCAGCTGATGTTCCAACCTGCAACAGGCAACGCTGTTGTGAAGTCCTTACCGGAGGTATGGTCGGGTATCCAATCCGTTTCTTTTTTCATGATAACTTGAGACGTTCTAGTGCCAAAAGTAATATAATTATAATATGCAGACGGAGAACTGAATATTTTTTCTTCTACCTTACCACGAGCTTGCTTGATCTTGTTTTTCCTCGATCCGTTTTGTTGACAGAGGGAAAAGCAGCTTGCAGGAAACATGAGCTCGGATTCCTTTTGATTACCTTGCTTTCAGTTGTTCCCAAAAAAGGTTTTTGTTATTTTTTCTCCGAAATTGCTTTTGAAAAAAAATCTCCTGATTTAGATAATATCCGCTATTCGCAGTTTCGACGCAAGTGGATCCATATTCACGATCTTGCTGAAATTCGTTTCGCCAACCTTCTCAGAAGAATTGGAAATTGGTTTTTCTGAAGAATCTGAGCGCGATGATTGGCATGAGTTACTGCAGCAGGTAAGGGTTATTTACCGTTCATGCATGTGATAGTGGAAGAACCTGTTATTCCACATCTGTTATTTCTTGGAGATATGGTGGGAGAAGAATGTCATTCGTGGCTGATCAGTCGGGATATTCGCTTTTTTTTGGGACGACGCAGTTTTTTTCGAATTATCTACTCCCTTCAAAAGCATAAAAAAACTAGTTTTCCTGCAACTCAACTTAGAAAATACGTCCTTTTCTGACGAAGTGAACCTCAAAGAATACCATTTTTCGGAAATTCGTCGACGTCTTTTGGCTTCTGGTAACGTGAAAGATCTGAACGTTGTTTGGAGTGTATCCTCTCTTGGACTGATTCGAGTTCATCTGTTCTCTGAGGCATGTTCATTGAAATGATTTCTTCTGCCTACTAGTGTCATAATATAAAGGGCTAGCACTGAGCCTTATGTTTGCGTTCGTCCTTGAAGTTCTTGGAATCTTCTTTCTCAGCTTACAGTTTAAGCCATCCTTCTCCACAATGGTCTCTTCCCCCAGCCTTTGCGTTCGTGGTTGTATGCAAATGATTTCAGCCGGCGCTGAGGATGTCGTTTGGGCACTTGCCAAGGTTTGTCAGTTTCTTCTGAATTTTAGTTTCAAACTGCTACTTTTCATTTAGGATGGAACTGTTTATGCTCTCTCTCCGGATTATAATTTGTTCTCCGAAAATAATTCTAATGTATATATGCAAAAGGCGGACATCATAAGAGAAGTAAGTTTCGCTGGAGAATCCATTATACTTCAAACTTGCGCTATTTTTTGTCGAGTCGAGTCGAGCTCCTCTTATTTTGAGGCCTACTTAGGTAGTTGAATATCAAAAACATGCATTCCTACGTGGATTTACCTCGTTCCAAGGATGGTGCAATGGAGTTTCGGGATGGATGGAAGCTTCATGTGCAGTGAACGGTCTTTATGAGAAGTATGTTATTCAAGTAGAATCTCATAAGTTGAAGGCGCTATGAAATCGCTCTCTAGACTTCCATCACGCGAATGGAGCTGGGTTGATTCTGAATGGCGATTGGTCGACAAAGGGAAGTACGAGGATGGCTGGACGTACGCAGATTCTATTGAGGAGCAGTATTATGCATCAAGGGGGAAAAAGGTCAGTTTCGAGTTTTATTCACTCCATCATACATTTTTAAGTTCTACCCCTTAGAGCAAAGCGCGACGACGTCGATGGCAACGGCTTTGCCGGTTCGAGTGCAAGGGACCGTGGATCCCCATCGAAGCACCTTCAATTCGTTCGATTGACGTTCAGAAGAAAAAAGCCGATAGGGTGAGAATTCTACTGTTCCCTGATTGTTCATCTATCGTTTCACCCTTTATAGATACTCGTCTGGGCGGTTACCGAGGACGGGCAAGTTTTGCTGCGACAAGGCGTTACAGGCGAACGACCTCAGGGCACGACTTGGAAGCATGTACGTTTGTGAAGCATCTAGCACTTTCTCTCAAGCCGCGTTTATACTCGACCACAATGAAAGCTTTGTCGCTGTCGTTAGGCAGCTGAATAGGTATGAAATGACGTGTGATGCAGGATAATGACATGCAATGCGGAATTTCTTCTATTAACCATGCTACCTCCTCAGAATATGGGTTTTTAGCGTACATGCCGTTTATCTCTTTGCCTCTACCGTGAGAGTTCCCTCACTTGCCCCCCTTTCACAGAGCGGACCTTTCACATACGCTGAGCGTGATCCAATTTTAGTCAGCCTTAGATACATGTCGTGTAAAATAAGTGAACATTGAATATAATAGATTTTATTCGACTTACTAGCTGATTCAGATAGTTGGGGACTACGTTATCGACTCGATATTGAGTGCATCTCCGACCTGTGTATGGGCGACAACAACTGAAGGCAGATTGTTACGACGGGAATGTTCTGATCAGACGGATATGGAATGTGTGGGTTAGTATAGTTACATCGTTCGTACGGTTCTCCCATTCCACCTCACTTTGCTTTTCTGCTGCGCAAAATGGGTGAAGGTGTCTAGATTGGTCAGAAGTGGTTTATTCTCCGTTGAGGAGTGTGTTCTCGTTTTGCGTCTGGCAAAATTTTGTCTTCCTCCTCCCAGCGGACAATCCCCAGCTTATCGTTGTCGACGTGAACCGCGGTGAGATATTCAGCAAACTTTACTTCTTGCCACCGCATTCGCAATCGCAAGCCTCAATCCATTTAGGGACCTCGAAACTTTGTCTTTCAATACCGAAAGCAACCTACATCACTCTAGACAAGGAGGGTAACTTGTATTACTGTGATGGGGCCAGCATTGTTCAACTGGAGAGGTACACTCCGAATGAAGAGCAGCCATGGGAAATAGATTTCCGAAGTTCAGGCAAGATTTCAGATGGAGGCTATGCTCGATGTTGTTTCAAATAAGTTGTTACAATGCCAATATTTTCGCCTTCTTAAAACTTTTGTCCGATTCTTATTCCAACAAGTCTTGATAGGCTGCTTTCACATACGTCTTTACTACCAAAGATTGTTAACACTAGGGTACTAACTAGGTCGAGCTACTTGTTAACTGTACATTCTTGTCATACATTCACTCGATTTGAGCCCAAATCTTCAGGAATGGGTTAAAAATCTGATTTCTTGTGATCCATTCTGATTACTCATAACTTATCACATTTATACTTAAACGATTCATTTGAATAATTATCGCCGTAATAAGTGTAGTAATTAGCGCCTTTCCCTACGACAAGGTTGATATTTCATGTGGATCCGGTCTTTGTGATAATCATTAACCATTTCAAAAAGCGATAAAGCCTATCCAGTTTTGAACGTACCAGCTGCAGTTTCAGAACATCGTTTCAGGAAAGGTTTGACGAGTTTTCGTAGAAATCGTTAAAACTATTTGAGTTTCTCTTTTATAGTGGTTCTTATTGTCGTGTTTGATGATTGCTTAAAGCAGCCAGGAACAAGTCCTGTATTTTCACCGTAAACTAACTAGCACGTGATGCAGATTTAGGGATGACTCTTGTTCTGCCGGACAGCAACTAGTTTCCTTCGATTCGCGAGAAATCAACTGTAAGGATTGCAAATAGGGAAGGTTCTCTTGCGATGCAAACAAATATTTATAGCCTCATTACCCATCTTGAAACACCTCAGCTGCTCCTTGTTAGATGTCTCTAACAATTATCTACATACGTTCCACATCCAAGGAGCGTAGGCAGCATCGGCTTGTGGAGGTCGTTACTATCGTTTTGGAACAGTTCGTACTTCTTCCCAAGTTCCCAAGCGGCAGTGGTTCCGCGGAGACTACCGTATCCTTCCACTAAGAATTCAGGCTTTTACCGTCATGGCGCTCACTAGTGCACGCGGTCCGGATTTTCGGGGAGAAGCACCCACACGCGTCGTTTCGGTACTGATCAGCTTTTTTCGTATTTGCCATCTTAGTTTGAAATGGGCAATCTAAAGACAAGCTGGTCAGTCCGGGAGACGGG